CGCCTGGCCTCGCTAGCACTCTGGCCTCGCTGAGATAAAACCTCTTTTAAAACTGCATCATTAACTATGTAGCTGTGTGACGGTGACGTCACAGCCAGACACCGTGTGTACCTCCATGTACACTCCGTAATGTGCGCACACACACGGGTACACATGTATACATTACGCGTACACCACATACCCGTCACTGACAGTAACGCCAGACAATAAATCACACACACACACACACACACACACACACACACACACACACACACACACACACACACACAACACACCACTGAACCAGCTGGTAAGAATTCTACCTCTCTTGTTAATAATTATCCAAATTTCCCATTTCAAATTCAGGCAAGCCGGGTTGGCCGGGTTGGCTGGGTTGGCTGGCTTAGTTTCGGCTTGACTTAGTTATGTAACCTTTATTTCTACAAGTACATGATACAACTTGTACAGACCATAGCTGACACCAATGATATACATATGTAAAGCTCTTATGCAGAGCATTTAGGGCAGATTAGGTTAATTCTGTCCCCAGGATGCGACCCACACCAGTCTAGTAACACCTAGGTACCTACTCACTGCTAGGTGAACAGGGACACCAGGTGAATTAAGGAAACGCGCCCCAATGTTCCCACACTAACTTCGGCTTGTGGTAAAATAAGCTAGCATTGGCTTAGGTTAGTTGAAAATTAGGCTAGCATCTAACATTTTGCTACCAGAGTGCAAAACGTTTAACAAGCTTCCTGTTTCACAGTGGAACAAGAACAGCAGGAACCTCGCAGCAGTCATTCCACAATCACGCTTTGTATTGAGTGTTCAGAGGGGAGTTGATGGGAGGGATGGAAAGGGTAGGGGAGGAAGAGGTAATGGAAAGGGTAGGGAAGGAGAGAATATGGGAGTAGGGGAAAAGGGTGATGTAGAGTACTGTTGTCTACCCACCACTAGGCTACTGCCGTTGCCACTCCACAACGGCAGACCTTCCACTGTTAGAAGGTAAACGGCTGCAAGGAACTGGAGGAACCATTCCCTTCCTCGCATCAAACCTGATTCCCCTTCTGTTTTCCAGGCTGTACATGACCCGTACGGATTTAGATTCTCCACCCGCCTCTCTCCACCCTCCCAGAGTAGGTAAGGCCGGAGGGTAAATCCATCTTTTTACATAATTGTTAATACTGAGGTAAGTGACTGGTGAATAGAGTTGGAGCAGTGTTGGAGTGAGGCAGTGTTGGAGTAGTGTTGGTGAAGAGGACAAGATCGCGTAGTGCCGTTTCCGACAGGCTTGGCTACGGAAAATACACACACACACACACACACAACACACACACACACACACACACACACACACACACACACACGATCTAATCTCCTCAAGTAGTCATGGATTAAATTCGATTCAGGCATCAGTAGGCTGGAGGAACGTAGGCAGCGGTGCCTCCCTCCTTCATATTGAATACCTCCCTTCCCCACTGGCACCTCCCCACGCTGACACCTCCCCATCTGGAGAGTGATGTAGTGGAGGCAGGATCCATGCATAGCTTTAGGAAGAGGTAGGATAAAACTCAGTGGACCAACTAGCGACCTGCGAAGAGGCGGGGCCAGACGCTGTGAATCAACCCTTGCAACCACAACTAGGTGAGCGCACACAACACACACACACACACACACACACACACACACACACACATAAGGAATCATTCAGGACCCTGTACACCGTGTACGTTAGGCCCATATTGGAGTATGCGGCACCAGTTTGGAACCCACACCTAGCCAAGCACGTGAAGAAACTAGAGAAAGTGCAAAGGTTTGCAACAAGACTAGTCCCAGAGCTAAGAGGTATGTCCTACCAGGAGAGGTTAAGGGAAATCAACCTGACGACACTGGAGGACAGGAGAGATAGGGGGGACATGATAACGACATACAAAATACTGAGAGGAATTGACAAGGTGGACAAAGACAGTATGTTCCAGAGATTGGACACAGTAACAAGGGGACAAAGTTGGAAGCTGAAGACACAGATGAATCACAGGGATGTTAGGAAGTATTTCTTCAGCCACAGAGTAGTCAGTAAGTGGAATAGTTTGGGAAGCGATGTAGTGGAGGCAGGATCCATACATAGCTTAAGCAGAGTATGATAAGCTCACGGCTCAGGGAGAGTGACCTAGTAGAGACCAGTGAAGAGGCGGGGCCAGGAGCTCGGACTCGACCCCCGCAACCTCAACTAGGCGAGTACAACTAGGCGAGTACACACACACAACACACACACACACACACACACACACACAAAACACACACACAAAACACACACACCAACACACACACACACCACACACACCACACACACACACACCACACACACACAACACACACAACACACACACACACACACACACACACACACACACACACACACACACACACACACACACACACACACACACACACTGCTACACCAACACCTCTGTTATAAACTATCTTATAAATTACTTAGTTTTTAAATGGCCAAAAGTTCTCAAATGGCCATCGTATGTGGTATATATTATACTATGTGGTATATATTATACTATGTGGTATATATTATAGTATAATATATACCACATATAGTATATGTGGTATATATTATACTATATGTAGTATATAACTAAAATTGAAGAGCCAGAAAAAAACTCAAACTGCTCTAAACCCTCGAAATATATGTATATCTGATATATATATATATATATATATATATATATATATATATATATATATATATATATATATATATTATGCAAACACTGATCTCTGGCTGAAGGAGACTCGAACCTACGAACCTTAGGACAAGGTACGCAGTGCTTTACCAATCTACCCACACTGGACAATACCTTGGCGTGTAGCATGCGCTACACGTTTGATCCAAGGCAGCCAGCTTTCAGGGAGAAGGCTTACAGCTTTTCATCTCATCCCCTGCATGCATCAGCCTTACTAGAGATATTAACAATGCAAGGAATTCGCAAGAGCAGGCGAAATATACACAAACACTGATCTCTGGCTGAAGGAGACTCGAACCTAGGAACCTTGGGACAAGGTACGCAGTGTAGCGCTAGCTACACGCCAAGGTATTGTCCAGTGTGGGTAGATTGGCAAAGCACTGCGTACCTTGTTCCAAGGTTCCTAGGTTCGAGTCTCCTTCAGCCAGAGATCAGTGTTTGTGTATATTTCGCCTGCTCTTGTAAATTCCTTGCATATATATATATATCCTCCTTTCCCTCGCATCAAACTTGCTTACCACCCCCTTCCTCCAGGCGCTGCATAACACCCTAAGAGTTTAGTGCTTCCCCTTGAAATTTTTTTTTAGGATAGTAGAAATGTCTTAGTTACAGGGATCTATGGGCTAAAAATGTTTTATCGAGAAATTGTATTGTTGGATTGTATTAAACTGTATTGTTGTATTAAATTATATTGTTGAATTGTATTATTCCCGGTTTATTAAGTCTCTTAAAAATTCATGCGAGGAGGAGCATTGTGTGGTGTGTGCGAGGCTATACACATGGTCCAGTGTTAGTGGTCCCTGTGCGAGGCTATACACATGGTCCGGTGTTAGTGGTCCCTGTGCGAGAGTTAATGGCCCTCCTTTATGAGGGACCCTCTAGTGTGTTAGGGGAGGGCCCCCCTCGTCAGTGTTAGTGGCCCCACTGTGGGTCTTAGTGCCGCCTCTGTGAGAGTATAAGTGGCCCCTTGTGAGTATAAGTGGGCCCTCCTGTAAGAGTATTAGTGCCCGTGTGTGAGGGGCCCCTTGAGTGTGTTTACCAAGGAAGGAAACACACAACTTCATTCTTTTGAACACTTTCCTTGAAATTTCTAATTACTGACGTATGTCTTTTGATTTCGAGGGAGAGGGTGGAAAGGGAAGGAAGGGGGATAGGGAGGAGAGGGTGGGAAGGGAGGGAAGGGGGATAGGGAGGAGAGGGTGGGAAGGGAGGGAAGGGGGATAGGATGGGAGTCGAGGAAGGGGGATAGGATGGGAGTCGAGGAAGGGGTGGGGAGGGGTTATTAAGGGTTAGGGGTTATTAACTGACAAAATGCGTTAATATCACCGTTAATAAACTTGTCATTATTATTATTTATTTATTATTGCTGTACATGAAAAGGAAAGTTAAACCCATAGGGACGTCTTGTAAGAGGCAATCCAAGGGGCAGGCGGAGCCAGGAGCCAAGACTACCCCCTGCAATCTCTCTCTCTCTCTCTCTCTCTCTCTCTCTCTCTCTCTTCTCTCTCTCTCATTCATACATACATATATACATACATACATACATATATACACAAAAAAATCTCTTGACAAAACCCTTTGACTGTGGACTCAAGGATGGCAATTATTAAAACACCGCTGTCAAATCTGACAGAAATAAACACAGGCTGTCAACACTACTTTCCTTCAGACACACCCTCATTACCCATTATTAAAATTTTTGTTACTTTTCCAATTCTCTTTATTATTGCTACTTTATTTGTTCTTTATTCCTGTTTCACACATGAACAGAGCCCGTTAATGGGACAGATCCGTTAATGGGACAGATCCGTTAATGGATTACGTCTCATTGTGAAAACTAAGTGATGGCTGGTGATTTGTGGGTAATTTATACCGATGTTATGGTTGGTCCTCCTGTGTTGTCATGGTCCATGTTATGGCTGGTCCACCTAAGCATTGAAAAGTTTATAACTGTCCCTGTTCACCTAGCAGTAAGTAGGTACCTGGGTGTTAGTAGACTGGTGTGGGTCGCATCCTGGGTGAGGGAATTTAAGAACCCAGTGAAGATAAGCCAGTTTGATATATCCTCATCTGGGTTATACTGGGTTACTGACACTCCAAAGGTCAGCTCCACTTGTTTAGATCAAGAGCCTCTCACCAGAACCACGAGCAGCTCGCTTGAAGAGTACCAACATTTATGTTGCACCTCGTGCCTCGAAGTTCCAATCTGATATTTTTTAGCTTTAGAGAGACTTGAACAAACAGACTGTTGTTTACCTTGTATACGAGGTCCACTTGTTTGGTCAATTCTTCTGCCTCTGTCATGATGGTGGTAGCGTCCTGAGGCCTTCTAAGTAGTTTAGATTGTAGATGAGATAGCACACGCTTCTACTAGCAAGACAGCAGCTCCCTGGCACTCTGAAGACAGCTGTCGCAGCTCATAGCTGTCATCCCGGCTGTTATTTCACTCCCAGCACGAAATATCAAATGTAAACACACTGATGTTGCAAATTTCTTTCGCTTCAAAATTATAAGGTATTTGTGCAGCTAAAGCTTTATCTGGCGCTTTTTAGCTTGATGTTTAATACACCTGGCGGTCAAGAGTTGCCCCTGATGGTCAAGAGTCGCCCCTGGGGGCCAAGAGTTGGAACACCTGGGAGAGTAAGAAGAGCCAGACTCACACTGCGAGGTTCACAACACAGCAACAATAGTACCTCCCACCTCGACGGCAGCGGACGGACTGATGTTGAATACTGCACTGACGGCTCTGTATGGCTTCCACCACTACTACCAGCCCTCCTCACCACCACTACTACCAGCCCTCCTCACCACCACTACTACCAGCCCTCCTCACCACCACTACTACCAGCCCTCCTCACCACCACTACTACCAGCCCTCCTCACCACCACTACTACCAGCCCTCCTCACCACCACTACTACCAGCCCTCCTCACCACCACTACTACCAGCTCTCCTCACCACCACTACTACCAGCTCTCCTCTACCACCCCCCCACATACTACCAGCCCTCCTCACCACCACTACTACCAGCCCTCCTCACCACCACTACTACCAGCCCTCCTCACCACCACTACTACCAGCCCTCCTCACCACCACTACTACCAGCCCTCCCTCCCTCACCACCACTACTACCAGCCCTCCTCACCACCACTACTACCAGCCCTCCTCACCACCACTACTACCAGCCCTCCTCACCACCACTACTAACCATCCTCCCTCTCCACTCCCCCACACTACTACCAGCCCTCCTCACCACCACTACTACCAGCCCCCTCCTCACCGCCCCACTACTACCAGCCCTCCTCACCACCACTACTACCAGCCCTCCTCACCACCACTACTACCAGCTCTCCTCACCACCCCTACTACCAGCCCTCCTCACCACCACTACTACCAGCCCTCCTCACCACCACTACTACCAGCCCTCCTCACCACCACTACTACCAGCCCTCCTCCCTCCCCACCACCACTACTACCAGCCCTCCTCACCACCACTACTACCAGCCCTCCTCACCACCACTACTACCAGCCCTCCTCACCACCACTACTACCAGCCCTCCTCACCAGCCACTACTACCAGCCCTCCTCACTACCAGACTCTACCAGCCCTCCTCACCACCACACTTACCAGCCCTCCTCACCACCACTACTACCAGCCCTCCTCACCACCACTACTACCAGCCCTCCTCACCGCCACTACTACCAGCCCTCCTCACGCACTACTACCAGCCCTCCTCACCCCACTACTACCACCCTCCTCACCCACTACTACCAGCCCTCCTCACCACCACTACTACCAGCCCTCCTCACCACCACTACTACCAGCCCTCCTCACCACCACTACTACCAGCCCTCCTCACCACCACTACTACCAGCCCTCCTCCTCACTACCACTACTACCAGCCCTCCTCCTCACTACCACTACTACCAGCCCTCCTCACCACACTACTATACCAGCCCTCCTCACTACCACTACTACCAGCCCTCCTCCACCACCACTACTACCAGCCCTCCTCACCACCACTAACCACCCTCCTCACACCACACTACCAGCCCTCCTCCTCCTACCACTACACAGCCCTCCTCACTACCACTACTAACAGCCCTCCTCCTCACTACCACATACCAGCCCTCCTCCTCACGTACACCACTACAGCATCCTCCTCCTCCACTACTACCAGCCCTCCTCCTCACTAGCACCACTACCAGCCCTCCTCCTCACTAGCACCACTACCAGCCCTCCTCCTCACTAGCACCACTACCAGCCCTCCTCCTCGCTAGCACCACTACCAGCCCTCCTCCTCGCTAGCACCACTACCAGCCCTCCTCCTCGCTAGCACCACTACCAGCCCTCCTCCTCGCTAGCACCACTACCAGCCCTCCTCGCTAGCACCACTACCAGCCCTCCTCCTCGCTATGCACCACTACAGCACCTCCTCCTGACAGCACCACTACCAGCCCTCTCCTCGCAGCACACTACCAGCCCTCCTCATCTGCTGCACCACTACCAGCCCCTCCTCGCTAGACCACTAACCAGTTCGCTAGCACACTACCAGGCCTACTCCCGCTGACACTACTACACCTAGTCCTCCTTACACACTACTACCAACCCCTACCAGCTACTACCCAGCCCTCCTCATTATCACCATTACCACCCAGGCTCCTGCTGGTGGTACCCTTGTATTAGTGCCACACGGTTAAGTTCATAATGTCCAGGGTCAATCAAGGGTAATTTACCTAGGGTAATACTATTCCTGATTGGCCTCCTTCCAAGCACTGAATCCCTAGGGTTTAGCCGCCTGAGTCAGGGGATTTGATATACCATTGATGAGTTTCGAGAGTCTACTCCTGGTGCCCGGCCAAGGGCCAGGCTGCTCTGGTATTCCGTATATACCATATTAGGACCTAGGGTGTATATCCAGCAGGGACTTGACCTAAGGGGGTATATCCAGGGGAGAGTTGACCTAGGGTATATCCAGGGGAGAGTTGACCTAGGGGGTATATCCAGGGGAGAGTTGACCTAGTGGGGTATATCCAGGGGAGAGTTGACCTAGGAGGGTATATCCAGGGGAGAGTTGACTAGGGGGTATATCCAGGGGAGAGTTGACCTAGGGGGGTATATCGAGGGGAGAGTTAACATAGGGGGTATATCCAGGGGAGTTGACCCATGGAGGTATATCCAGGGGAGAGTTGACCTAGAGGGTATATTCAGGGGAGAGTTTACCTAGGGGGTATATCCAGGGGAGAGTTTACCTAGGGGGTATATCCAGGGGAGAGTTTACCTAGGGGGTATATCCAGGGGAGAGTTTACCTAGGGGGTATATCCAGGGGAGAGTTTACCTAGGGGGTATATCCAGGGGAGAGTTTACCTAGGGGGTATATCCAGGGGAGAGTTGATTTAGGAGGTACATCCTGGGGAGAGTTGATCTAGGAGGTACATCCTGGGGAGAGTTGATCTAGGAGGTACATCCTGGGGAGAGTTGATCTAGGAGGTACATCCTGGGGAGAGTTATCTAGGAGGTACATCCTGGGGCGAGTTGATAGGAGGTACATCCTGGGGCGAGTTGACTAGGAGGTACATCCTGGGGAGAGTTGATCTAGGAGGTACATCCTGGGGAGAGTTGATCTAGAAGGTACATCCTGGGGCGAGTTGATCTAGGAGGTACATCCTGGGGAGAGTTGATCTAGGAGGTACATCCTGGGGAGAGTTGATCTAGGAGGTACATCCTGGGGAGAGTTGATCTAGGAGGTACATCCTGGGGCGAGTTGATCTAGGAGGTACATCCTGGGGAGAGTTGATCTAGGAGGTACATCCTGGGGAGAGTTGATCTAGGAGGTACATCCTGGGGAGAGTTGATCTAGGAGGTACATCCTGGGGAGAGTTGATCTAGGAGGTATATCCTGGGGAGAGTTGATGTAGTTTGTCGTGCTTGTGGACAATACTTTTATCATCTTCACAGACTGTACCTGGTCAAGTCTTCACAGACTGTACCTGGTCAAGTCTTCACAGACTGTACCTGGTCAAGTCTTCACAGACTGTACCTGATTCAATCTTCACAGACTGTACCTGATCAAGTCTTCACAGACTGTACCTGATCAAGTCTTCACAGACTGTACCTGATCAAGTCTTCACAGACTGTACCTGATCAAGTCTTCACAGACTGTACCTGATCAAGTCTTCACAGACTGTACCTGATCAAGTCTTCACAGACTGTACCTGATCAAGTCTTCACAGACTGTACCTGATCAAGTCTTCACAGACTGTACCTGATCAAGTCTTCAGACTGTACCTGGTCAAGTCTTCACAGACTGTACCTGGTCAAGTCTTCACAGACTGTACCTGGTCAAGTCTTCACAGACTGTACCTGATCAAGTCTTCACAGACTGTACCTGGTCAAGTCTTCACGGACTGTACCTGGTCAAGTCTCGTGGGATCTCCCTCGCTCACTCTTACTACCTGCTTCATCATTGTCTTCTAATGCGACTGTTTACCAACTTTGTTTCAGATTCGATTTTCAACGCTGTCGTTTTAAAATGGTCGTTAAGTCTCTTTTCTCCCACCTATGCAGTTTTTTCGTTTCTGGCTCCTCTGCTCACTTAATTTTTTTCCTCGCGCACTTTCACCTTTTAGCTTTTGCCTCTCTGGTTGAACCATGTTCTCTCTCTCTCTCTCTCTCTCTCTCTCTCCTCTCTCTCTCTCTCTCTTCTCCTCTCTCTCTCTCTCTCCTGTTTTGCTTGTTCCTTGTGTGTGTTTCTCTCCTCTTCCTCTCAATATTATCCATCTGCTTCAACTCTAAATGTTTTATAGGTCTTTATCCACTGTATTACCGTCAAGAATTCACTCGTACCTGTCTGGGTTTCCTCTGAAGTTCCCTGCTATGTTTATCTCGTGTTTTCACAATGTTTTTTCAAACATTGTGTTATAAGGTGTTAAGCAACCTTAGGGACCCCTTGTATTCTCACCATCGTCAGATTGGTTCACGGTGGATACTAGTTCCAGCCTCGCTGGTGCATTTCTGTGCACTTGCCTGTCTGTGGTTACAGGGGCCGAGTCGTAGCATGCGTGTGTATAATCGCCTACTTGTGGTTGCAGTGGTCGATTCATAGCTCCCGGCCCCGCCTCTTCGCTGGTGCGTGTGTCAGGAAGACTCCAGTTTCAAGGCCGCAGCTCCTGCAAGACGTTAGGTGCTACCCTCCTGCTGCTACCTTCCCAACCCCTTGCCTTTACCTACCTTTTCCCTACCTTTATCCTTCCCACAGCCCTGACTATATTTCTATGCCCCTTAATCTACTACTACCTTCCTGCCACTACCCTCACTATCTCCTTGCCATTCCCACCCCCTCCGTCCTCGTTCCTCCCTGTTCTTCCTATTCCTCCCTGTCCTCTCCTCAAGGGAGGTTACTTGACGCTAGTGAGGGGTTCTTGATCTAGGGAATTGGATCTGTGCTCCAGTTCCTTGAATGGAACCTAAATACCTTCCATCTTCCCCCCCCCCACATGCGCTGTATAATCCTACGGGTTTAGCGCCCTTCCCCATGATTATAATAATCCTCCCTGTCCTCGCTTCTCTGCGCACGCTTAATCAGCTGTCCTTGTGATTGCTGACTTTGCCTGTTCTTATCAGCTTGTTCTTGCCGTGATTGCTGAACTTGCCTGTTCTTAGTGTCCTTGCCAGCGTGCTCTTGTTACCTGGGCTTATTGTGTTTGTTCTTGCTGTGTTTGCTCCAGGAATTTCTCG